TTCCACCCCTCATTCTGGCACACCCCTCACACGTTTCGTGGCCCCATAGGGAGCTCCACCGAAGGCCCCAGTGGCTGCGCCCGCATGCGGTTCCACACCCCATTCTGGCACACCCCTCACACGCATCGTGGCCCCATAGGGAGCTCCACCGAAGGCCCCAGTGGCTGCGCCCGCATGCGGTTCCACCCCCCATTCTGGCACACCCCTCACACGCTTCGTGGCCCCATAGGGAGCTCCCCCAAAGGTCCCAGTGGCACTGCCCGCTTGCGTCCGCCACCACCCAGCACAGCCCTTATTCCCTGCGCTTCGCTCCACCGAAGGCCCCAGTGGCTGCGCCCGCATGCGGTTCCACCCCCCATTCTGGCACACCCCTCACACGCTTCGTGGCCCCATAGGGAGCTCCCCCAAAGGTCCCAGTGGCACTGCCCGCTTGCGTCCGCCACCACCCAGCACAGCCCTTATTCCCTGCGCTTCGCCCACCCAGAACAGCGGTTCGGACCCCTATAGGGAGCTCCACCAAAGGTCCCAGCGGCACCGCCCGCATGCGTCCGCCACCACCCTGCGCAGCCCTTGCTCACTGCCTGCGTTTCACCTACCCAGTACAGCGTTTCGTGGCCCCATATGGAGCTCCACCGAAGGCCCCAGTGGCACCGCTCGCATGCGTCCGCCACCACGCAGCACAGCCCTTGCTGACCGCGTCTCACCCACCCAGTACAGCGTTTCGTGGCCCCATAGGGCGCTCCACCGAAGGTCCCAGTGGCACCGCCCGCATGCGTCCGCCACCACCCAGCACAATTGCGGCATTCACAACTGCATATGGTTGGGTCCTTCGCCAGGCTAATTTTATAAAAATAGGTTTTACCACCCTCCCCCCCGGACTTAAAGACCCCCTTGTCGTATTGCAACTTACATAGGATTCCGCCCCATCGCCCATATTGACAATGAATTCATACCATCCCAGTCAAACCGGCATCGCCCCCCCCCCTCGGATCCCTCGCAAAAATCATATGCGCACTCACTCGTTTATCAACAACCATACGTTTTCAAGAATCCCTTGCAAATTAGCCCGGCGAAGGACCCAACCATATGCAGTTGTGAATGCCGCAATTGTGCTGGGTGGTGGCGGACGCATGCGGGCGGTGCCACTGGGACCTTCGGTGGAGCTCCCTATGGGGCCACGAAGCGCTGTACTGGGTGGGTGAGACGCGGTCAGCAAGGGCTGCGCTGCGTGGTGGCGGACGCATGCGAGCGGTGCCACTGGGGCCTTCGGTGGAGCTCCCTATGGGGCCACGAAACGCTGTACTGGGTGGGTGAAACACAGGCAGGGAGCAAGGGCTGTGCAGGGTGGTGGCGGACGCATGCGGGCGGTGCCGCTGGGACCTTTGGTGGAACTCCCTATAGGGCTAAAGCGCTGGGGTGGGTGAAGCGCAGGGAACAAGGGCTGTGCTGGGTGGTGGCGGACGCAAGCGGGCAGTGCCACTGGGACCTTTGGTGGAGCCCCTTATGGGGCCACGAAACGTGCGAGGGGTGTGCCAGAATGGGGTGTGGAACCGCATGCCAGCGCAGCCACTGGGGCCTTCGGTGGAGCTCCCTATGGAGCCACGAAACGTGTGAGGGGTGTGCCGAAATGGGGGGTGGAACCGCATGCGAGCGCAGCCACTGCGGCGTTCGGTGGAGCTCCCTATGGGGCCACGAGACGTGTGAAGGGCGTGCCGAAAAAAGGGGGGTGGAACCGCATGCGAGCGCAGCCACTGGGGCCTTCGGTGGAGCTCCCTATGGGGCCACGAACCGTGTGAGGGGTGTGCCGAAATGAGGGGGGGAATGCGAGCGCAGCCACTGGGGCGTTCGGTGGAGCTCCCCATGGAGCCACCCACGAAGCGTGTGAGGGGTGTGCCGAAATGGGGGGTGGAACCGCATGCGGGCGCAGCCACTGGGGCCTTCGGTGGAGCTCCCTATGGGGCCACGAAACGTGTGAGGGGTGTGCCAGAATGGGGGGTGGAACCGCATGCGGGCGCAGCCACTGGGGCCTTCGGTGGAGCTCCCTATGGGGCCACGAAACGTGTGAGGGGTGTGCCAGAATGGGGGGTGGAACCGCATGCGGGCGCAGCCACTGGGGCCTTCGGTGGAGCTCCCTATGGGGCCACGAAACGTGTGAGGGGTGTGCCAGAATGGGGGTGGAACCGCATGCGGGCGCAGCCACTGGGGCCTTCGGTGGAGCTCCCTATGGGGCCACGAAACGTGTGAGGGGTGTGCCAGAATGGGGGGTGGAACCGCATGCGGGCGCAGCCACTGGGGCCTTCGGTGGAGCTCCCTATGGGGCCACGAAACGTGTGAGGGGTGTGCCAGAATGGGGGGTGGAACCGCATGCGGGCGCAGCCACTGGGGCCTTCGGTGGAGCTCCCTATGGGGCCACGAAACGTGTGAGGGGTGTGCCAGAATGGGGGGTGGAACCGCATGCGGGCGCAGCCACTGGGGCCTTCGGTGGAGCTCCCTATGGGGCCACGAAACGTGTGAGGGGTGTGCCAGAATGGGGGGTGGAACCGCATGCGGGCGCAGCCACTGGGGCCTTCGGTGGAGCTCCCTATGGGGCCACGAAACGTGTGAGGGGTGTGCCAGAATGGGGGGTGGAACCGCATGCGGGCGCAGCCACTGGGGCCTTCGGTGGAGCTCCCTATGGGGCCACGAAACGTGTGAGGGGTGTGCCAGAATGGGGGGTGGAACCGCATGCGGGCGCAGCCACTGGGGCCTTCGGTGGAGCTCCCTATGGGGCCACGAAACGTGTGAGGGGTGTGCCAGAATGGGGGGTGGAACCGCATGCGGGCGCAGCCACTGGGGCCTTCGGTGGAGCTCCCTATGGGGCCACGAAACGTGTGAGGGGTGTGCCAGAATGGGGGGTGGAACCGCATGCGGGCGCAGCCACTGGGGCCTTCGGTGGAGCTCCCTATGGGGCCACGAAACGTGTGAGGGGTGTGCCAGAATGGGGGGTGGAACCGCATGCGGGCGCAGCCACTGGGGCCTTCGGTGGAGCTCCCTATGGGGCCACGAAGCGTGTGAGGGGTGTGCCAGAATGGGTGTGGGAGGGGGAGGAGGGGGGAGGAAGGGGAGGAGGAGGAAGGAGGAGGACGGAACGCGGGGCGACGTCTCTTCAAAACGAGGACCCAACATCACAGGATGGTTGGGAAAACATAGACGAAGTGCGCACACGCGCGCGTCGTCGCGCGCGCATGCCGAAATCCTTACACAACCTTCGTCTTCGGACGGGTGTCAACATCGAGTTTCCCAAAAACGCATACCAAAACACAGGGTTTCGCAACTCTGATTTTCTGAGAAAAACTTTCGCGCGGGCTCTTGCAACATCTCAAGGAAACCATTGGTTTTCCCAGATTTCCAAAACATACTACCAAACGGGCTTCGCGCGCGCATGTCGAAATCGTTCGAACGCCCTTGCGCGCGTGCCGTCGCAAGAATCCGTTGTAACAAACGGGACGAAGTGCACGCGCGCGCGTCGTCGCGCGCGTATGTCGAAGTCCTGCAAACGCCTTCGGTTTCGGATGGATGTCGAAATCGAGTGTCCCAAACAAATACCCCCAAAAACACCTGGGTTCGCAACACGGGTTTTCAACAAAAGCGTGCGCGCGCGCTCTTGCGTCGTCGTCGTCGTCGCCGTCCTCCCTCCTCCCTCGTCGTCGTCGTCGCCGTCGTCGTCCCCTGTCTTTCCTCGTCGTCGTTGTCCTTGTCCTCCTTGTCGGCGTCGTCGTTTCCGTCGTCGTTGTCGCCGTGGTCGTCCTTCCCTCTCCCTCGTCGTCGTTGTCGTCCGTCGTTGGCGTCTCGTCGTCTTCCCTCCTATTTCGTCGCCGTCGTCGTCGTCGTCGTCTTCCCTCCTCCCTCGTCGTTGTCGTCGTCGGCGTCGCCGTCCTCCCTCCGTCTTCGTCGTTCGCGTCGTCGCCGTCCTCCCTCCTCCCTCGTCGTTGTCGTCGTTGTCGCCGTCGTCGTCCTCCCTCCTCCCTCGTCGTCGTCGTCGTCTTCGTTGGCGACGTCGTCGTCGTCGTCTTCGTCGTCAGCGTCGTCCTCGTTGTCGTCGGCGTCGTCGGCGTTGGCGTCGTCGGCGTCATCATCGTCGTCGCCGTCGTCGTCGTCGTCGTCGTTGGCGTCGTCGTCGTCGTTGTCGTCGTCGTCGTTTTCGCTGTCGTCGTCGGCGTCGGTGTCGTTGCCAAGTGCAATTTGGCACCTACCGTCACGGTCTCAAGAGGTCTTGCGACCAAGTTGCGGGTGGGAGGGTGGGATGTTTGCACGAGCAGTGGAGAGGACATTCAAGACAGTCAAAGTGAATTGTACGACATAGATTACACCACGTAGCTCACACCGCGTATCTCACACCTCCACAGGGCAAGCACTTGGGTTTCATACTGTGTTCTGAGCTTGGATCGGTTTTCATCAGCCGCGCCTCGATGAGAGCTTTCCTGGAATTCTGAAATCGTCCTGAGCAGCCCCCTCCACACCCTTGGCCCGATGTGCACCACAAGTTCGGAGCCAACGACTTCATCATAACATCCCGCGATCTCGTTCCATCATCGCGAAGGCAGGGTTGGCTCAATTTGGGTCTCTTGTCCCAGTGCGGCCCCTGGGGCCCACAGAATGCAGGGTGGGGTTCAAACCCATCCGAACGGAATCCCACTCCAGCCATGGTTGCAGGGGGTCGCCAGGGTGTATTGGAAGGGCCCGGGACTGCATGGATCGCGTTTTTGGTGAGAGTGTCCCGACGTTCCGTCGATGTGTTGTTCCTGGTTCTTCGTTTAGTCAGAAATGTGCGCCGTTGGTTTGCTGATGCGCGCCCACGCACGAATCAAATCGGCGCAAGCCCAGCCCCCTGGACCCCTACCAGGGTCCTTGCTGGCCCGCTTCCCGAGATGCGCCCAGCCATGGCGACGAGAACCTCCAGCAGAAGCTCCAAAAACAATGTTCGAAGCGACGACGTCGTCGTCGCGCCGCCAGCCTGTCAGGACCCGGGTCGCGCTGCTCTTCGGGCGGGTGGGACACGTCCACCAACTCTTCGGAGCACTCCCGCCCGCGGACGCCGCCAGACGTGGCTCCCTCGCCGAACGGGCCGAACGGGCTGCTGATGCCGGACCCGATCAGGACGAGCACGATGCGGCCGTCGGCCACTTCCTCCTCCTCCCTCCACCCTCCTCCGCCCTCCACCTCTCTCCTCCCTCCTCCTACCTTCCCCTCCCTCCTGCATCCTCCTGCCTCTTTCCGACCCGTGAACCCTGCCTCCTCCCTGGCCCGCCTCCCGCCGCCCTCGCTCTCCCCCTTCTATCCAGACCTCCTCGTGGAACGAACGTAGAACAAAGGCATCCCTCGTCGTTCTCCCTGCTTGGCCCTCCTCTTCTCCTCCGCCTTGCCTAATTCCACCTCCTTCCCTGCTCCGTCCTCGTCCTCCATCGTGCCTCCTCCTTCTCGATCCTCATCCAGGGCCGTCCCTCTCCCAAACCTCCTTCATCCTCCCCATCCGTCCCTTTATCCCTGCGGCCTCCCCCCTCTCCTCCTTCTTCCCGTAAACATCCTCATCCTCATTTCATCATCCCTTCTTCCCTCCATTTCTCATCTCCTCTTTTCCCATCCCTTCCCTTCTCACTCCTCAATTCCTCCTCCATCCGTCTTTTTGTTCACGATTCTCCCTCGTCCTTCCTCTCTCCTTCTCCGCCCTCTTCCCCGTCTCCGTCCTCTCCTCACCCTTCTCTTCCTTCCTGTGCCAGCTCTTTCTTCTCCTCCTCCTCGCACCTCCCTCCCCTAGCTGCCGACGTCATCTCTCACCCGCCCGTACTCGATCAGGACAAGTTTGATGTTGCCGCCGACACTGTTCGACGACGACCAGGCGGGGCGGCGAGAGCTGACCAACCTTCCCCCCATACCTCAACGGGGGTGAGGGTGGGCAAGGGCGAGAAGAACGAGGAGACGGAAAGGCAGAAGAAAAGTAAGTGGGTTGACAGAGGATGATGGTGATTCGCGCGATGACGAGGTCCAGGGGGAACAGCAGGAAGAGGAGGAGACGGGGAGGAGGGGGAAGGGGTGAGGGGACGATCGGGAGGAGAAGATGAGTAGGATAATTAGCGGGGGAGAAGGAGGAAGGAAGGCAAGCGAAAAATGGGGAGGAGGAGGAGAAGGAGGAGGAGGAGGAGGAGGAGGGGCATCACAAGGTTGAGGAGGAGAACAGGATTAGGAAGAGGAGGGGAGGGAAGGGGGCGTAGGGGAGGGAGGCGGAGGAGTTGGAGGAGGAAGGTTGTCAACCGTTGGAACGAAGCTAAGCTCAGACAAGACAAGGCAAAACAACTGTGAACGCATAACTACAAGACAGCATACAAAGAGGTACTGCCATGTACGGTGCTGTGCCGTAGTGAACTGTAAGAAAAGTTCGGATCTGGTAAGGTGAGAGGATACATTGTTTAAGGTGTATGCGCAGTTGGTTGCAAGTGTACTGGTACATTCACATGTACCTGTAAAATGGATGCGTAGATTATGTCGTTGTAAATATACCCACACATGTGAGGAGAATCGTAGTTCCACCGGCGACTGGACAGATAATGGTAACGACCATGCAGACAAGGCTAGGCTAGTTAAGGTAAGGCGGGACATCGTAGGTCATGAACGGCATGCACGGTGGAGAAACGGTAAACGTAGAGCAGACGTCATTGGTAAACACAGTTATAGATGTTCAGTTGAACGGTCGGTTGAATGGTGAGGCTACGCGTGGTAGTGCTCATCGAAGTGTCACAAAGGCAATTATCGAGTTGGGAGGAAGGGGTGGGAATACATGATCAAATCATCAATAGTTCCACGTATGTTATCAGGTGCCTATTACACAGTCGTGCTCTGTATCTTCCCAACCCCTTCCTCGCAACACGGTAATTGTGTTCCTCGAAGTGAAGTTATGCGAGAGCGTATGTTTTGCAAGCGAGGTGGTGCGTTTGAACACAAGTGTACACATACTCGCAATTCAGAATGCAGGGATGAGTGCGTATGCAGTTGAAAGCATATGCGTAATCTGCAGTTTTCATTATACGTACTATATCTGTACAGGGTCAATGAAGGTCAATGAGGGCCAATTGTCTCTACGCATTGTCATCCAAAAGACAATGGGCGTCAATGGGGATTGTCACCTACTGCCCTGGGCAGCCCAACACGCCAGCCCAACCGACCCGACCAGCCAATCAGCCCAGACCAGCCCCACCAGCCACCCTGCGCACCAGCCAACCCGCCCAAACCCCTAACCGTCCAACCCGCCAGCCAGCCAGCCAAACCACCAGCCGCCCAACCCGCCTGCCCCCGCAGCCTGCCTTTGTCACAATCCGCCTGCCCCTGCCGCCTTCCTCTCACAGCCGTGCAAACGAAACCGGCTGGGAGCCGCCCCCCAGGGCCGGGCGGGACGGCCAGGGGGAGCACCGCCCCCCAGCGCCGTGTTTTCGGGCATCGTTGGGGCCCCAAGTGCCATAGTGTTGCTATGTTATCCAACTTCACCGCGCCCACTCCCTCGACTGAAAGGCCTACCATCCTTGCATCTGTCGTTACTGTTTGGGCCCCAGGGGAAGCAACCAGCGAAACTACACAGCAACATGGCGCGTTGGTGGGGGGGAGGCCCAGGGCGAGCGCCCTTGGAACGGTCGGTGCTCTCTCGATACCGTCGTCATTTTCCACATTCCCCCGCGCCCACACTCTCGAATGCAGCGCTCCCATCCTCATCGTCGACACCTTTGTCACCCCAGCGGGTTCCTTTGAGCGCCAGGCGGAACGGCCAGGGGGAGGCTGGATCACACAGCAGCGTCGGGGACCGCCCCCCCTCGAGACGGTCGCAGCCCCCAATTGTGACGTTGTTGTCCTTGTCCGATTTCACCGCGCCCACTCTCGACGCAAAAGGTTCCCATCCCCGACACTGTCGTCGTTTCAGGCCCCCATGGGAGCCTGCTTCATGGCCTTCGGCCTATCCCGCCACCGTGCCTGGGTTGCGGGCCAGAGTCCTCAGGGATGCTTCTTGGGGTCTCCTGGGAGCGCTCTCGGGGCCCGTCTGGGGCAGTCTTGGGGAGCCTCTGGGGGGCCCTTTGGGAGCCTCTTGTCGGGCCGGGCTAGAGCGGTCCAGAACGCTCTGAGCAGGCCGCGGCGCCCGATGCATCCTCCAGAGCTTCCGGATCTGGGAGATTCCCGATGACCCGCCGTTATCTTCGTCTTGGTTTCGTATTGCTCTTGTGGGCGTGACGCCGCCTTCGCCTTTCAGGCCCCCACGGGAGCTTTTATCAGATGGCCTGGCGGGGGGCGGCTGGGGGAGGGCCGCCCCCTTGTGGCGGGTGCCCTCGGGACAATCGGCGTTCCAAAGGGCGATGCCCTCACCACGTTCGACGCTCATCCAGAGGAGGAGGAGGAGGAGGAGGAGGAGGAGGAGGAGGAGGAGGAGGAGGAGGAGGAGGAGAAGAAGAAGGGGGTGGGAACAGGAGGAGGAGGAGGAGGAGGAGGAGAAGGAGGAGGAGGAGGAGGAGGGGGGCGAGGAGGAGGAGGAGGACGTGGAGGAGGAGGACGACGACGCTCCTGACAGAAGGGCGCCTTTCCTTGACACCGGTGTCACAGGTTTGGCCCTAGCGGTGCAGTCTATGATGTTATAGGTGTTTTTTGTTTTTCTGGCCTCTTGGGGGATTTTTGGTTCGCCCTGGTCCTCGAGGTATCGCCTTATGCGTCCTGTGTGCTCGTGGTTCCTCGGCGCTTGTATTGATGTCTGGAAGATGTCTTCACACATCCTAAGGATGCCATGGTGAGCTTCTCAGCAACCCAGAGGATTTCCTCGGCAGCCCTACGAAGTCTTTCTGGACCATAATCGAGTTCTTGATGACTTCCACGGGATTATTTCATCAAGTTGTGTCGATCCCATCGGAGTTCCGACGGGATCCCAATGAATTTTGGGCTTTCCAAGAATTGCACTAGGAATCCGATTGACTTCGTCAGGCGCACTATGCATCCGATTGACTTTCCCATACGGATTCCAAGTATTTCTTCATATGTTTATCCTTGGATTTCCAAGGACTTCAGAGACAGTCACACCAGGTTCTGGATGACTTCTTTGGAGTCCCGAGGAAGTCCTCCAGGGTCCTGGGAATCCCTTCCTGAATCCTAAGAAAAAGCATGCGACATGATACAGTTTATTATGTACCCCTATAAGCGTTCCTCCAGAACCATTGGGGATTCTGCAGGAGGTTTCAGTGAGTGTGCGGAGTCAATCGGATTTCCCAGTGGAATTTCTTTTGGAGATCCTGGGGGGTTCGTGCGCTCCTCGCGGCGGCCTCCACCCTCCAGCTTCGAGGAGCCACCCATCGCGGAGCGAAACCCCCGCTGATGCGACGCAGTTGCCCGCGCGAGACTCCAGCCCGCGCGCACGCAGTCTTGCGCCGCGGCGCCACCCCAGCCGCGCAGCGAGCCCCGCGCCAGCCGCGCAGCGAGTCACCGCCGAGGCGACGCGGCTGCGACTCCCCCCGCGCGGGGCCCCGCCGCGCGCGCACGCAGCGCCCAGTTGTGCCGCGAGTCCCCCGGCGTCCGAAGGGCGCCATCCCCCCGCGGACCGCGGAGCGAGGGCTTGCGCCGACACGCACGTCGCCGAATGGCGGTGCGAGGCGCCACCCCCTCCCGCGGAGCGAGGCCACCGCCGATGCGACGCGGTGGCGACTCCTCCCTCTGGAGAGGGGGGGCGTCCACTGTCAGAGGATGTCCACATCCACTCCGTCGGCGTCGTGCCCTGGGCTTAGCTGGCCCTGTACGCCCGCGCTGAAGCGCAGCACGAAACGTCCGTGTTAATGCGCTGCGTTCGATCCACGGTTTGGCGAGCGTATCTATCCAGACCTACGTTTTCGGTCTGCATGTTGAGCTCCGTGTCAACACGCTACATGTTGCGCGTTGCGTTTTATAGGGCAGCAAAATCCGGGCAGATGTCCACATCCGGGTCTTGAATACACGACTCGCGGCAGTGGATATGGACACATTCAGGCGGCGTAGGGGGCGCGTGGGGGGGGGGGAGAGGGGGCGCGTCTCGGGCCGGACGAAAGGGTAGGATAAGGAAAGGGCTGCACAAAACCTGCTGCATGCAGCTGGTTTCGGCCCCGGCCCATTCTTCGATACATGGGCGCCTCCAGGCGTCAGGAGGCGCCAGGGAAACCATCTACTTGAGCGGAGTCTCTACCCAGCCCTTTTGCTATCCTGCCTTCCCCTCCCCGAGCGTGTGGAGGGGGAGGCTCGGGGGCCCCGCCCCCCCCCACACCCCGAGCCTCTCCCTTTGGGCGCAGGCGAAGCGGGTGACCTCGGGGTGGGGGAGTGGGCTCCCCGGCGGCGCGAGCGCGTTTTGTGGAGCATTCCTTAGGATGAGGGGGTGGGATTTGCGCGCACGCGATTCCTTGCAGATCCCCCCCTCCTCCCTCCTCCTTGTAAGGGGAAGGGGGGGAGCAGGATAAGAGATCTGGGGAAGAGGATGGGGGATCTGTGGGGGGGAGGATAGAGGATCTGGGGAGGAGGATGGGGGATCTGGGGGGGAAGGCTTCCCCTCCCGATTTCCCCCCCCCCCCCCCCCCTGTCCGACATTGGACCAATCCCAGCCTACTAGTCCCAAGCCTGGCCTGTTCGGGACCGATCCCGCGAGAATCGTTTCCATTCCCGGCTGAGAATATGGTTACAATTATATGTGTTAAGAAGTTTTCGGAAGACTTCTTCATACATACCTTCAATATTCTCAAGACAAAAAGTATCCAGACGGCGTCTTAAGTAGCAGAAGACCACAAAAGACGTCGGCAGAATTTGCTTACGATCCACAGAGGAATCGCAGATGGCCCACGTATGAGCTGTATACGCTTCACAGGTAGGCGGTTCACGTAGGAACCGCGCGTGGTTCACACAGTTATTGTAACCATACACGTAGGATCTGTTTACGATTCACAGGGTCGTAGACGATTCACATTGGGAAAGTGGGCACCTCATATGAGAATCGTATACGGTTCAAATCGCACGCGCCCGCAATGCACATAGGAGTCGTCTACGATTCAAAATGGGATCGTATACGATTCATGTAGGAGCCATTTACGGTTCACACAGGTGACGTATACGATTCACATAGGAACCGCAAGCGATCCACACATCGAGCGTAGACGAGTCACATACGAATCGTGTACGGGCCACCTTGGAACCGTATATGATTCACATGGGTTCGTATACGATTCACGTAGAAACCGTGCACGGGTCACATAGGATCCGCTAGCGATTCACATAGGAGTCGTATACGACCGACACGAAAACCACATACGCTTCACATGGGGTCCGTGCGCGATTCGCACAGGAGCAGAGCATCTGTGCACGTTTCGCACGGGAGCCGTTTGCGATGAACATTGGAATCGTATCCGACATAAGTCGGAGTGGTATACGATTCACGTACGAACCGTATACGGTTCACATAGGAATTGCCAACGCTTCGCATAGGAGTCGCATGCGACCCACACGGGAATCGCAGACGCTTTACGTGGGATGCGTGTGCGGTTCACATGGGAAGCGTATGCAATTTACACAGTTACAGTATACGAGGCACGTAGGTTTTGTGTACGGTGCACATGGACCTGTACACGATTCGCATTGCAACCGTGTGCGGATTGCCATCTGTATACGTTTCACATAGGAATTGTTTGCGAGTGACATTGGGATCGTACCCGATTCAAACCGGATTCGTATACGACCCACAGGAGTCCTACACGATGCACGTGGGGTTTGCACACGATTTACATGAATTTGCATCCCATGCAAATTGGAACCGTATACGATTCACGTTGAAACCGTTTACGGTTAACGTTAGAATCGTAGACGGTTCACATAGTTCGCGGGTGTGTTTCACATAGGAGCCGCGTGCGATCCACAGTGGAGTTTTACACGGTCCGCAGGACCCATGTACGATTCTCATCGGGGTCGCAAACGATCCACAAAAGAGTCGTACACGGCTCACACAGGGAAAGTAGAAGAGTCACATCGAGCTCCTATACGATTCACACGGGTTTCATGAACGGTTCACGGGGGAATCGTATATTGTACGGTTCACATGGGAACCGATTTCGATTCATACAGGAATCGTATACGGTCCACATGCGATTGGTGTACGAACCACATATGAAAAATATGCTCGTCGCACAGCTGCCGCACACGATGCACGTAGGATCTGTATACGGCGCACATGGATTTGCATACGACTCGCATTGGAATCGTATGCGCTTCGCATAGCGCTCGCGTGCGTTTCACATCGGAGTCGCCTACGTTTCAGAATGGCATTGCGTACGATTCACACTTGACTCGTATAGTATCGCACGGGAACCGTATACGATCCACACAGGAGCCGTAAACGATTCACATAGGAGCCGTACACGATCCACAGTGGAACCGTATACAGAACACAACGGTTCCGTGCACCCGCCAAATAGCAGTCGCAAGCAATTTGCAAAGGAGTGTTACATCACGGTTTACACATGTTTCGTAAACGAACCACCTAGGAATCGTTCGAGTCACACAGACATGGAGAGGGTACACATACGAATCGTATTCAACCCAGAGGAGTCGTGTACGATGTACAGGGGTGTCGTGCGCATTCAAGCCGCAAATCGTTCACATTGGAATCGTGCACGTCGCGCACAGGAGCCGTATACATTGGAACCTTATACAACTCGCATTGCATTCGTGCAAGATCCACAGGACCCGCATACGATTCACACGCGATTCTTTTGTCATTGGAGAAACCAGGAGCCAGTCCCCGCGATGGAAGATGGAAGGTGCGAGTGGGTGTCCTTAAAGCATACTCCTGTACTTCTGGAGCGTCTGCAGGACATAGTTGCGTTCCTGCTTATTTCTAGGAGCAGCCGGGATGGGCCCCAGTCTAACGCACAAGCAGGTGGCATTGGTCCCAGGCGGCCGGTATTGGTACCAGTTCGACAAGTTTGGTCCATTTACCTCCCCCCTCTCCCCTTCCACCCTAGCCCTCCTCCCCATGCACCCCGTCCATCACCACCCCGCCTCCGCCTCCGCCCGCCCGTCCGCGAGGTCACCGAGGGGAAAGCCGAGCAGCCTCCCGCGGAGTCCAGCAGCCGGGAGACGCCCGCCAGCGCGGAGCTCGCCGCGTGCGCGCAGCCCGCGGCCGACCCGCGGGTGGTCGTGGCCGAGCCTTCGGCCGCGCGTGCGCAGGCCCCCCGCCGCCGCCGCCGCCGTCGCCGTCGCCGTCGCAGCCGCCGCCGCCGCCGCCGTAGTCGTCGTCGTCGTCGTCGTCGTCGTCGTCGTCGTCGTCGTCGTCGTCGTCGTCGTCGTCGTCGTCGTCGTCGTCGTCGTCGTCGTCGTCGTCGTCGTCGTCGTCGTCGTCGTCGTCGTCGTCGTCGTCGTCGTCGTCGTCGTCGTCGTCGTCGTCGTCGTCGTCGTCGTCGTCGTCGTCGTCGTCGTCGTCGTCGTCGTCGTCGTCCGTCGTCGTCGTCGTCGTCGTCCTCGTCCGTCCTCGTCCTCGTCTCGTCCTCGTCCTCGTCCTCGTCCTCGTCCTCGTCCTCGTCCTGTCCTCGTCCTCATCCTCGTCCTCGTCCTCGTCCTCGTCCTCGTCCTCGTCCCTCGTCCTCGTCCTCGTCCTCGTCTCGTCCTCGTCCTCGTCCTCGTCCTCGTCCTCGTCCTCGTCCTCGTCGTCTCGTCCTCGTCGTCGTCGTCGTCGTCGGCGGCGGCGGCGGCGGCCGCGAGGTCGCCATCGTCGCCATCGTCGTCGGCGTCGTCGTCACCGGAGGTGGAGGGCGGCGGGAGGAGGGAGAAGGGAGGAGGGAGGGGCATGAGGATGGAGGGATGAGGAGGAGGAGGAGGAGGAGGAGGAGGAGAAGGGGAGGAGAGAGGAGGAGGAGAGGAGGAGGAGGAGGAGGAGGAGGAGGAGGAGGAGGAGGAGGAGAGGAGGAGGAGGAGGAGGAGGAGGAGAGGAGGAGGAGGAGGAGGAGGAGGAGGAGGAGGAGGAGGGAGGAGGAGGAGGAGGAGGGGAGGAGGAGGAGGAGGAGGAGGAGGAGGAGGAGAAGAAGGCGGAGGAGGGAAGACAAAGGACGGAGGACGGAACCGAAGACGCAGGAGGAAGAGGAACAGGACGGCGGAGGATGAGGGGGCGTGAGGAGGAGGGGGGAGAGGAGGGATGAAAAGGAGGAGGAGGAGGACGAAGAGAAGGAGGAGGAGGAGGAAGAGGACTCCGCCCGTTTGTATTGGCAGCCACCTCCTTCAGCTGAGGCACGCGCAGCAGAGGCCCTCGAGGCGGATCCGACAGTCGAGATGAGGGTGCCTGCGGGTTTTCGGGGCCGCCTCCCTCTGCCGCGACGCTTCGAATCAGATCCCGGGCTCCGCCGTTGGCGCCGACGTGCCCCGGGAGCCGCCTCCCTGGGCTGAGGCTCAGAGAGGCGCCTCCTGAGCCGCCTCCCTGCGGCCTCGGAGCAAGACTCTCTTGGACGGTGCGGCGTCGATGCCCGCGTGTCTTTGGAGCTGCCTCCTTCGGCCCAGGCGCCTGCCCGGCCGGTGCTTCGAAGAAGGTCTTTAGATACCGCGTCGGCACCGATCTGCTTTCAGAGCGGCCTCCTGCGGAGGAGGCGTGCTCGCCCCAGGAGATGGCGGCCTAGCGCGCGCGCGCCTCAGTGCCGCGGGCGCGCGGTGGAGTGGAGCAGTGCGATCGCGTCGTTTCCCACGCGTTTCAGCTTTGCAGTCGCCGATGTCGCCTTCTCTGCTCCCAGGTGGACTTTGCGCCCGCGGCGTCTCAGCTGCCGCCTGCTTCTGACGTTTGGAAGTGTGCTTCCTTGCCTTAGGCGCGGATGCCCGTTGGTCCTTTTCACATTTCCTTGTTTGCTGGTCCGCTTTCGGGAGCCAGCGAGAACTTAGCCTGCGGTGGCCTGAGACAGAAAGCTCCCTCATCCCCCCCGGCCCGCTTCCCCTCCTTCCCACATTCCCTCCCCTTCTCTCTTGCCCCCCCTCTCCCCGTCCCATCCCCCCTCCTGCTGCTGCAGATGGGTCCACTGCTCAAGCGGGACCCGTTCGGCCGCGACGTGCCCTGCCGGCGGGAACCGCCCACCAAGGAGCCCCGGACAGTCGCTCATCCAGAACGCGACGCGGGGCCCTTCTTCCCAGATCGGGTATAGCCTCCACCCCAGGTAAGGGGACCCGGTTAGCGGTAGGGCCCCGTGGCCCTTGAATTGGCCAGAATCACTAAACCAGGTCTGCCGTAGCTGGTGTTTTTCGGGTGACGGCAGTTCCGGTCAGTGGAACGCGGCGGGGGGGCCTCCCCCAGCACACATCACTAAAACAGGTTCCACTAAACCCAGTTCTTCCAACGCCCGACCAGAGGCGCAGATATCAAAGAGAGCCTTGAAGTTTATTCTCGTGTGACGAAGTGCCTTGGGATTTGCCGCCCCACGTCGGGCCCTGGGACCCTCGTGGATCGAAGGAGACCGTTCGCGCCGTTGTGGTGTTTCGTGGCGTTGGATGTTTTGGGGAGTCGTCGGAGATTTGCGGTCGTAATGCTTTCTGATACTTACGTAGTATTTCTGAGCCTTTCAGGTCTTCGACGCCAGAGCCCCAGCATTTTGAACTGGTCAAGAGCCTCCAAGGACACCAGAGTCATCTTGAAAGCCGTCTAGAGGACCCCCTTGTGAAAGGTGTTGGTGAGGTGGAGGGGCCCTTTGAAACGGCCGTCCCTTTCTAACAGGGTCCGTTGCCCTCTTTGAAGGCTGCCGTGGTAGACCAATCCTTCTCCCCGGACCTCTGACGAGCTGATTTGGTCGAGTCGCTAGCCCCTGACCCCTCGACCCCATTCCCGCTGACGGGCTTTGCATCCTGGATATTCTGTTGACGGGTCCCGAGTCTGAAGAACGCCTTCGGATTCCGACAATGACATAAAAACTGCACATTTGTTTAGAGTCCCTTCTCGTCTCCCTTTTCCTCTTCCTCACTATACCATCCCTTCTCTTCCTCTTTCTCCTCCGCGCGAGAGGGCCTTCGCAACGCCGAAGTACTCTACACGATGGGGTCTCCGAAGTAGTTCCCTTCTCCATTCCCGATCCTCCTCCTCCTCATCATCCTTCTCCTCCTCCTCATCAGTCCGAAGGCACGCCCGACGTTGCATGTCATCCCCTCTCCTTCCCTGGCTGCCTCGCCTCAGGAGTGGTCGGTCGACCCGCTGGTCAAGTACCTCAGGGGTGTCTGGGGGGCACGCCAACTATCCGCCCGCGCCCGCCTTGGCCAGAGCAGCCCTGGGGCCAGAATCTGCGTGCACGTCTTCCTCTCGACTACACGTAATAGTGACCCTTCGCCGGAGTGACATTTGGTGCGGGCCCAATGGGGTCCCCCGATCGCCGAACGCGATGCGGTATTAGCGTCTTGCGCGCTCGTGTTTGGTCCCCTCGCGGCCACCAAACGCCGCGCACCAAAGGTCGCTCTTACCCAGGGTCACTCTTGCGTGTAGTCGATTCCTCTCTCATCAGGCCAGGAGGATACATTCGCCGATTCGTGCCCAGGACTCGCCGGGCTAAGACTGGCGTGGGCGTATAGTTAGGCAGTGTTTTCACAGGCGTGGTCCAGCAGATCGAGCACAACATCCAAAATCACTGCGTCCCCACCGCCGAGAAGTTGGACGCGTTTGTCTCGCGCCTGATGGCGAATACAGAACGGCACGTGAGACGCGCGCCGAAGAAGCGGAGACACGCGCTGCAGGTGTTGTTGTCGAGGAGAAACTTCGCGAGGCACGAGAACCAACGGGTCACAACTCCCGAGGAGCTAAAGACCACGCTGAACAGCGTGATCGAAGACTTGTTGAGGGATATCAGCGGCGGGAGCTCAACCTGTCCCTCTTCGTGAACATTCGTGAACTGACGCGCGAACGTGCACGAATACACGTAGGCCCGCGCAGTCGCTTTCGATTAGTGACCTGCCCCTCCCCCCCCTCCCCTGCAAGGCGCGGATGTTAGGTTTCAGTGGCCATGGGTACGGCCAGTGAGCTCCCGCCCACCTTGCTTTTTGTGCGGCCGCGCCCATCGTAGCGACCCCAGGCTCGTCGCTGGGGGAATCAAAAGGTACCGATACCGCCACTCTCCTGACCTCTCCTGGGGTGCGTTCTGACCAGAGTTTCGAGGCGAGTCCAGCGGTGTTTCAAAAGGGGGAAGACGAGGGAAATGTAGCGGTATGGGTATTGGTTTCTCCTCTGAGTTGCTGGTTCCTGTCGAAGCGCGCGCTGTCGGAGCGGGCCCCGTGTATATACGATAGAGCGAGGAGGCCTCGGCATGCGAGGCCTCGGTATAGGCTGGGCCGGCCCGGTCGATATCGGCAGCGCCGGCTGGCGGGGTGCGGGCCGGAAGGGCCCCGCCGAGCCGCGGCCCAGCCGTCGGAGGCCTGCCCAGGATCGGTGGTTCAAAGATGGGGTCTTGAGGGATGGGGTCCTAGAGACAGGACGCTTCGAACAAGGCACGTCCACCCCTGAGCCCCTTCCTATCCTAAGGGCCCCATCCCTCAGGACCCCATCTTGGAACCACCGAAGGGGGGCTGGATGCGTACGGCGTGGCGGGCCCGAGCGCAAGCTGGGTGCACGTGGTTCGCACGCCCCATCCAGCGCTCGGCCCTCGTGCGGCGCAGGCTGGGTGGTTGCGGCGGCCCTCCGCACCCGTGTCCAGCGTGCGCGGCCTCCGCGTGTGCCACACATGGGTCCGGCCGCGTGCGGTTCCAGCCTCCTGCTAGAAGCTGGCACCAGCACCAGCGTCGGGGGTCGCCTCAGACGGGCAGGGACGGGGGACGTTACGGAATCTGTTGCTTGCAGCTGTTTTCGGCCCCGCCGCCTGGCGCCGTCATCGATACGTTGGCGCCAGGAGGCGCTGGGAAAGCCAGCATCCCCTTGCCTTGGCATCGCTCGGACGTGTGCGCTTCTCTCGGCGAGGCCAGCGCCAGAAAACGCTAAACCATCTAGGAGCATCTTGGACCATCCTGCGCCCCCCCCCAAAACAAAAACACGCACGAAACCGCACAACGCACTGGGAATGGGCGTCCGAGCGAAGGCAAGCTCACTGTCCATCCCTTCGTCCGACCGGTGATGGTGATTCTGGTTCTCGGCGTTGGTGGTGATATCTAGGCCTGCTGAGAGGCTTTGGGCCAGCTTCTCTCGGCGGAGGCGGCCGCCGAGGTGCGTGCTGGTGCCAGCCTCCAGTCCTCCGAGGACCGACCCAGGGGTGGAGACTGCCTGGCCAGGTTTTTCATAGAGCTCGCGAAGGGACCAGACTTGACTGTATGGCGTTATTTAGGCAAGGCTGAACGCTCGCCGTACTGTTTGATTGTGTGGCGAGATAGGGTCAGACTTGACTGTTTGAGACCAGACTCGGTAGGGCTGCGCATTCTACTCGCATCAAAGTCCGCGTCTCCTCATCCTGGACTCCGCCCTTGACCAGCTCATTCTTCGGCTCTGGCTTCATCCGATCTTCCGCGTCCTTCACTTCTTCAAACCACCACGTCTCCTGCTCGACCTTTCGTTCTGATCCGTCTCGCTGACTATCCCTGTTCGCCCCGTCGTCGTCTTCCACTTCCCCCTCACTTCATCCTTCGCTTCCTCTTCCTCTTCCGCTGCAAGCTTTCGTGCCGCAGCCCCTCCGCCGCTTGCGTGTCTCCTTCCCCTCGCCTCTGCTGCGTTCTTCATCGTCCGAACGTTTGCTTACACTCATCAGAACTCTTAAGCACATCAGTGTTCATGCATTTCAGATGTCGGTTAAGACCATCGTCGAGAAGCTGGGTTTGGCCCTGAGCTTTTTCTTTGAGTGTTATTTGTCGCACAATCTTTGTATGTCTTGACCTGGACTGCTGTTTAAGAAAACGTTTGGAGGGAAGTTCGCTTCCCAAGTTTATAATGTTTCAGCTCTAAGCAGGAGTGTATCCCTCGTATTGGTTGCGGCATGCCGAGGACGTTCCATTCTGCTCACATGCCCTCAGCGGTCACCTCATTTGTTTGTGAGTGTGGGGACACGTCCCAGGACTCAGGGTGTTGTCCCGCTGCCTCGAGGCTCCAGCCTCGAGGCAAGCTGCACACTGTGACACGCAGGCTCGCCGCTCCAGACGTCAAGGGACGATCGATACGCTTTGGTGTTCATTGACGCATTTGCTCCGCGTAGAACGATTTGCTCAGTCACGGATGGTGCTCATGGTGACTCGAGTTGAGTCGAGAGTCTTCCTCGTTCGCCATCCCGTGACTAGTTGAACATACGTATCTGTCCCCAGCAGGTCGAAGTGTGCGCCAAGACGTCCACGTTGGCAAGACCTTCCCACCGCTGTAAGACTATTGCGCCTGGCACGGTCTGCCTGGCGCCTTCGGATTCGCACCGCGCTGGCAGTCGCGATGAGTCGAGGTCTGGTGTTCTCGCTCTCCTCTCCGCGCGTCCAAGCTTTTGTATGCACGATCGGAGAGGGCTTCTAGTGAAGGAGAACGGGGGAGGACCTGAAAGAGAAGGAAAGGGGAGGGGTAGGATAGAGCAGGGATGGGACGAAGCGGTGCCTGCATGCAGAACCAGGTCCACTGTGCACGCGGCGACGCATCACTTGGAGAGAAGGGGTCGAATTCGAGTGGCGCAACGGGGGGGGGGTACTCGAGAAATCCGTGGGCCCACGCCACGACGCGCACCCATTCACCCGATGGTCAGCCCGGGCGCCGATGCCGCCGTCATTCGGGGCCTAAGAGACGGGGGTCAGTGCAAACGGGGTCAGCCAGGGCACCGGACCCTGCAGGATCCTGCGAAGAACCTCTCTGGCTGACCCGGGTTAGCGAGCCGCTCGTGGCCGCGAGGCGGCCGCGCATATTGGCTGACCCGGGTTTGCGAAGACCTGCGTTGCAGTTTTTTGTCCTGCATTGCAGTTTTTTCCCCTACCTAGGCTCTGGCTAGAAGGGTTCTTACTCTCTTGGCTTAAAGGGGCCGGGCAGTGGGCTCCGCCCCGGGCGGTTCCCCCAGGATCCGCCCGCGGTTCCCCCAGTTACATCCCCTCAGCTTAGCGTTGCTTACCGCATCTTAACTTAGCTTATGTCATCTTAGCTTAGTTTAGCTTCATCTTAGCTCAGGTTTATCTTAGCTTAGCGTACCTTCATCTTAGCTTCGCTGAGCTTTAGCATAGCAGAGCACAGCATAGCATAGCATAGCGTAGCGTAGCATAGCGCAGCACAACATATCATAGCATAGGCCAGCATATCATAGCATAGCATAGCATAGCATTGCATTGCATTGCATTGAGCAGCACAGCACAGCACAGCATAGCACAGCGCAGCATAGCAGAGCATAGCAGAGCATAGCATAGCAGAGCATAGCATAGCATAGCAGCAAAGCAAAGGCAAATCAACAGCAGCGACATCAAAGCAAAGCGCAAGCAAAACAAGGCAACGCAAAGCAAAAGCAAAAGCAAAGCAAAGGAAAGGCAAAGCAAAAACAATGTGCGACAGACGCCGAGCTAGCCTCGATGGCCGGACCGGAGCCCCCGCAAGCAGTGCCTTCCGTAACCATTTCGGCCCAAGTCCGGAGGCCCTGCCACACAGCCGCCCACGCTCATGTCCCGAGGTTGGCGGAGTGAGGCGTTCAGCGGTGCTAGCATAGCCTAGCATAGCTTAGCATAGCTTAGCATAGCTTAGCATAGCACAGCGCAGCATGACATAGCATAGCTTAACATAACATAGCATAGCATAGCATAACGCATCATAGCATAGCATAGCATAGCATATCATAGCGCAGCATAGCATAGCACAGCATAGTATAGCAACTAATGCTGCTTTCCTAGAGGCTCCAACTTCTAGGTAGGGTCGCACTGGGGTAATTGTTTCTTGTTGACCCGGGTCTGGATTGACCCGGGTCAGAAGATTCCCGAGTCGTTCCAGATCGTTCGTCCCAGCGCAGCCCATCTCGCAATCTGCGTGGGCGGTGACGGAAATTCCGGCCAGTCTCCACCGCCTCCGGGACGATGGGCTTCCCCGCTTCGGGGGGAGCATACGGGCTTCTCGGCCGGGCGTGTGGGCGAGCCCGAGTGGCCTGAGACCCGCATGATCTCCAGACTCGCTCGGTACGATCGAAGCCGAAACGGAAAGGACGGGGCGAAGACGGACAGCAGTTTCTGCCCATTTTTGGAAAGGGCCCGCTGTCGGCGTCGCCGCGGACGGTGTCTCCGTAAGACAGATGGTCGCATACCCAGCAGCGGTCGCTGCCAATTTGGGGCAACGTCTGCTGTGGGGTTATCGTGCCCAGTTTTGTCGGTACTCATTTTGGTCCGAGTCGTTTTTGACGGTCCCGGGGCCTAGCGAGGGCGCCCAAAGGTCTGTCCGTCGTGATTTTTGTCACGGCGCGAGGATGTTAGGAGTTAGGGAACGCCGCTGATTTCGAGAGCGCATGCCCGCGCGCCGCTGCAGCCGACGTGGCCGCGACCCCGCCGCGGGCGTTCCAGCTTGAACTCTGCCAGTAACCCAGAAGTGGCCAAGACAGAACGAAAGCCCCCGATCGTTCCAGGTTGAACTACGCGCGGTCGTCACTACACGAATCTGCCGCAACCCCGCGCGCCGTTGCAGCTCACCTTGTGCGGCTTAAGTGCGGGACATGCAGAGCTGGGAAACAGTTTTTCAGTATTTCTGGTAGCGGTCGTTACCCGAGGGGGGGGGAGGTTGGGGCCCCGAGTAACGGTAATGCCTGGGCGGGGTGGGGCACGTCGGGGCTGGGGTGCATTGCGATCGCCATAGTACGCGAGCGACCACCCGCATGTAGGGAGGGGATCCAGGGCCCCTCCCTCCGTGCGATCGTTATCATCACCCGTCGGGGGGAGGGTGTGGCCAGGGTGACGACCGTTACGCGCCAGAGGATCAAAGTGCCCCAGCAAAGCACAACACTAGCAACAGAGGTGCAGAGGTGGATCGAAGACTAGGAGGTCGGCTAATGAAAGCGTGGATTCCCATGAGCATGGCCATATGATTCCCAGGAACGCTGACAGGCGGGCCATGGCTGAAAGCACGGCCATGTGCACCGTACGGCTTTTACACAGGATCGTGGCCGTCCGGACCGCACAAGTAGCCGGCCTTGAGGTGAGAACACGATTCCAGAATAGATTATGTTGCCGGCATTTGTGTCCTCGGGCTCCCCGCCCCCTCTTTTGGGACTCTTCTTTAAAAGAGTTCTTTTGTCCTTTTTCACCACTGCGGTGGGGGCGTTCGCTAAGGAATGTGCCTAGGAGGCTTCAGACCCTGAGGGATTCCTTATCTGATAAGGGCGGCGGTGATAGCCATGGCCGGGCCGCAACTGGTGTTCCACTGGCTCGCAGACCTTGGATCATGGTTCAACGGTTCCGCATCCAATGCCCTCACCGTATGAGAGCCATCCAGCGAAACACCATGAGGGAACAGGAATTTTCAGCTGCCCGCGGCAATCCCCGCCACCGTGGCTCCCAGGGAGACGCGACGGCCATCCAGGGAGTAGGGGTGGTGCACGCAGGTGTGCTCGGCGTGAGGAGCGGGTGGGCCTCTTGGAAGACTTCAAGATTCGATCTGCTTTTTTGCTGTGTTTTGTTATTCTCTTGGAGGGCCTGGACCCAATCTAGTTTACCCGCCTTCCTATTTCATTTTTCGACACACTTCTTCCGACCAGCGTGTAGGGTTGGAGCGCGCAGGTGCGCTCGCCGTGAGGCGTTAGGAGCGGGTGGGCCCTTCGGAAGACTACAGAAATCCTTCCAGGCAGCACTTGGCATTCGGCATTCTTTCGCGCCTTAGCGTGCCAGGAGGCACTGCGGCGGGTCGGGGGCTCCTGCGGCGCCCGTAGGCCGAGCGGCGCCTCGGCGGTGCGCTGGCCGATCCTCCTCGGCGACGTTCTCGCCTATGGAGGCCTCTGCTTTCAGGCCGCGCGGCGGCAGAGGGCGGCTCGGCAGCGGGGGGGGCGGAGGCTCTGACACTCCAGAATGCTTTAAAATAGGCCTCCCGACTTATTGACCGATCTGAACTGCCTAAAACGTCGACGGGAATTAGGACGGCTATGTTTTAGCCCTCCTGGACGGTCCGGAGCGGGGAGGGGCGGAAGGAGGGGTGAGTCCAGAGAAGGAAGAGGTACCGATACTGCTACGCATGCCCGCTTTTGTTCGCCTTTCTGAGCCTCCTGGAAGGCCCTTGCCGCCACGGCTGGATTCACCTTGAAATTCCTGTCAGAACCCGCCCTGGGAAGGGTCCGGGGAGTCGCGGTATGGGTATCTTCTGGTTTGCCCAGAGGGGGGGGGAAGGGAGGGGGGGGGGTCCGGCAGGAAGGAAGAGACAGAAGACAGGAAGACAGAGACAGAGGACAGCGAGGGAGGGGAGGCAGAGGGAGTGGGGGGGAGGGGAGGTCGATGGATGGTGTTGGGGGGAGGGAAGGGGA